GAAGCACTTAAACATTAGTTACAGTGATATCGGTGTTTAATGTAACAAGACACTCGCTAACAGCTAGATGAGGCAGGAGGACAGAGCGAGGGGGAAGGACGGTGTTCTTCCCTTGGTCGAGCTGCTCCGGCCACAGCTGTGGCTGACTGTGAATGCTCATAGATAGCTTCAGTCCTTATATATAGTTTTAAGTAGCTGAGCTGAAGTAATTGTTTGCCAACAGATGAAGGAGGCACAACTAAATCAGCAATGGAATTGAAAAGTGAATTGATGTAGTGAAGATAACAGTGATCCTATTTAAGTTTGGCTGTAATGAATGTTTTGTTGGATATTTTTAAAGTTTTCCATTTCTTTAATTCTACATTTAATATGGTATTAATGAAGCACTTAAACATTAGTTACAGTGATATCGGTGTTTAATGTAACAAGACACTCGCTAACAGCTAGATGAGGCAGGAGGACAGAGCGAGGGGGAAGGACGGTGTTCTTCCCTTGGTCGAGCTGCTCCGGCCACAGCTGTGGCTGACTGTGAATGCTCCATGCTCCGCAACAAATGGTGACCCTCACAAGAGGGGAAAATCCTGACATTGTAATGGTTCTCAGTCCTTCGGACGTATTCCCTTTGCCTCGAAGATTTCTGGAGCATCTTGCTCTGTTCTGTTGGGTGCTGCTTGTTTAATATTATCTGGTCCATTGGCTCCTCCATACTCAACTAGTTTGGATCACAGAGAATCAATGCCACCTCCTTTCCATCTGCTTTTTGTTTAAAAAGCTGAGGATATCTTCTCTCTCCTGAACATGTGTGCAACTTTTCAGTAATTCCCATATGATTGATGAGAATATATTCTGCTTGGTTTTGGGGGAAAGGAGTGTTTAGTCTCCACTTTTCTAATGCCCATATAGACACAAAAAGTCAGTCCTATGGTATCTATTACACATTATTTCACTAAGCAACCAGCCAAGTCTTTCTTCTGTAATTTAGTAGAACAAAGTAAGCCTGAACTTGACCCTCCAGCCATTTGAAGCAAACAACATCTGTGTGAAGCCTTTAGGTTTCCAATACATTGACTCACTGACCAAATCTTCTTGCAAAACATGTTGTGGACTCTTCAGCATCACCACTGCAGTTGGTACGCTGTGTCAAGCATATACTGATCGTACAAAGATCACATTTAGCTGGTTTTATTCTTTTAAAAATGCTTTTTCTGGAGAGTGGGAATGAAGTGCAGGAAAAAATGTGATTTGTCTTTTTTTAAGCACGCACAGAAAGAGCTGGTGAGCTTTTAATGACCACCTGCTCAATTAGCCCCTCAAAGGGACCTCCTAAGCAGGTCTGCAGGAGAAGGGGAGGTGGCAGCGAGGGGTGTGAGCACCACCAAGGAGGAGTGGTGCCCAGAACATTGTGGATTGGCTCCAGTGCATGCCATTGCTCCAGACCTGGCATGGAGAGGGGCTTCCTTGGCTACCGGAGGACTGAGGGGCTCTGTGCTTGGCCTCCCTGTTCTCTCCCTGCCCTCTTGTCCTCTGTCTCGGTCCATGTGCCCTCGTTCCCTCCTGCCAGTGGGTGGCCTTCCAGGCCACCTCGCTCCCCCCGCCGCTGGGTGCGGCCGCCTGTAAATCCCCCCAGCCTGCCCATGCCGCAGCACCAGCAGCTCCCCCACTCTGTCCCCACACTCCTGACATCACCAGTTGGCTCCTGGCCCTGTGATGGGATGGGGTCCCAGCTGGGCACCCCATGGCTTCACCCCGCCTCCTTCCCAGCAAGGCTTGGGCAGAGCCCAGTCCTGTCAGAGGGTACAGCAACCATGCAATTCTCGCTGGGCTCCATGAGGAGCAGCCTGCAGTGTCCATGTCGTCACAAGTACCCAAGCGCACGCTGGGGACAGCATCCCCAAATCACTCATATCCTGCTGTTTCTCACACACATATGCCATCTTGATAATAAACTATCTCTTTGGTCTTCTCTTGTTGCTCCATGTAACATCTCTTGCCCTGTTTTTCTTTCTGGGCTCATCTGCCATGTCTTAGAACAACATCCCAGACCATCTCTTGCAGACTGCCCCTCAAAACACCCTCTCCCAGAGACCTTTCCCTAGCTGAGCTCTGCCTGTTCCTCTTGGCTGCTAGGGCAGGCCCGATCTCCAAGGCTGCCCGTGTAACATGTACCCCGGAGCTTTATTAACAGCTTCCCCCACTGCCCCAGGCCCTACGGCTCCCCCTGGGGCAGCTGCTGCTGCCAGCGTACATTGGTGACATGGGAGGGAAGGGATGGCATGGCCTTGTGCTTCGGTGCAGGGCCCCGCTTGGGCAAACAGTGTTGGCTTGGCCAACAAATGTAATTTTGGGCAAAGCATCCCTCACGTCCTCATCTCCAGTGGGGCCACGGAAGAACCCTGGCGGATACATCTCACAGGTAATAAACTCTTTGGGCAGAAAACAGGTCTCTCCTTTTTCTCTAAGGCTGAAGCAAACTTACAGTGCTGCACTAATGCTGAATAACATCAGCCTCCTGGGAGCAGTTACTGCAATTCAAGTGCCTGTATTGGAGAAGAATGTGATTGCACCCTTTCTTTCCCCACAGACCCGTGAAACCATGCAGGGTTATTTTTTAGCTGCTTATTCCTGCTTTATTAGGGGCATCAGTTATAACTGGTGAAATAAAGTAAAACCAAACTGATGAGGAAAGTAGTTGTGGGTACTGTGATTTAAGCTATTTATTCATCTCAGACCTGCTGAAAAAGTCTGCTTATTCCATTATCATCAATCCAGTCACACATAAAGCTACTGAAATGTCATACAAATTATAGTTTTCCAAGCTGTTGTGTAGAATGATTCAGGTGGGAAGAACTATTAATATTAAATACTTCTCTTTTCAACTTTGGATCCGTGGATACCAAAGGGATCAGGCTTGCATTTCTTTCGAACATAGAATTATCTAGGAATTACATTTAATTTCTAGACCTTCTCAACAAATTACTCCAGAGCTTTTCAGCAACAAGTCAGAAATGTAGAGCCTTGCCTTTGCTCTACTGGATAGCAGAGTGTTGCCTTTTTTGTCTCTCTAACTGAAGGGATGCACAGCCCAGAATGGGAGTACAGATACACAAAAACCCATGAATGAGATCATCAAAGAGGATTTTGAGAAAGGAAAACATGAGTCCCTGAGCAACATCCAGGCTGGGGCGTTGACTCAAATAAGGAGTGGTTGAAGGTGAAGTGGCAGGGGCATTGAACCCCTGTGTGCCCCCTGAAGAACCAGACCTGCCTGAAGCTGAGCAGTCAGAAATATTGTAACACTTAAAGTCTTGGCCCAGACACGGCCTTTTGTTAAACCTAGCGGAGTGACTTCATACTGGCATCCAAAGCCGCTCTGCAACCACCATGAGTAGAAGAGGGTGGCAGCAGAGCCTGTGTGTTAACGTTATATTTCCTTGTTTTGGCTGGCTTGTGTTCACAGATGTAAAGAATGATGTCTAACACTTTCATGAAAACTCTTTTCATCTCAGCATACTGACAATGATGTCTACAGCTTAAAAAGACTGATAGGAGAATCAATCTCTTAATTTGCCCTCCAAGTCCTGAATTTTTGCTACCACAGATAGCAGGCGCCAGCAGGCAAGCAACTCAAATGTTGTTGCTCAAAGTGGAAATGAAGCATTTTTCTGATCTACTGTCTCAACTGTTTCATTTAAGTGCTTCCACCAGGGGCTGCGGGGGAAGTGCAGAATTTGGGCGTTGGCATGCCTGTGCTATGTGCTAAGCACAGAGCAAATTTGTGGCACAGAAAGCCTGCACTTCAAATATAAAATATGGAGCAGCAGATGGATATAATAAAACAGGAAGCATACGGAAACAATGACACGATTATGAACAGCATAATAAGCAACGGTCATAGCACACCAGGGCCATAAGCAGACTTCCTATTCTGGATGCCTAAATTGGGCATCTTAATACCTAAATAGCAGTCATCTGGCCCATCAAGGCAATCCAGAGCATCTCTCCTAGTTACTCCAACACCTTATACAGCCAGTGGAGGTGACAGCTCTGGGTTTGCTCTCCAGCAGCTCCCTTGAGCCCATCCGGCAACACTCGAGGCTGGTGCCAAGAAGGAAACAGCAGGCGGCAACTTGGGCTTTTTTCCCTGCCTTGCTGAGGGCTGAGAAACTGGGTGCCACCAGGATGTGCCGTCCCAAGGCCATGTCTTCAGGAGAGCAAGCACTGGTGTGCAAGGCGGGGAAGGCAAGCAGCCCAAGGCTGTGCCCGGTAGCTCGTCTCAGCCCCGCATTGCCTGCTCCGCTCTCGACTGCGCTGCGGTTCGCAGCAGCCCACAGTGCAGCGGGACCACAGAGCTGTAGGGAGAGGGAGTGCGGGGGGAGGCTGGCTGCGGTCCACCAGTCAGACTCATCTTCTAGATCTGGAAAGTTATGGTCTGTGCTTCTAGGAGTGAGCATTTTGCGTCTTTTGTATTACAAAATGCACAAGCAGGCCCAAAGCACGGGCTTTTCCCCACCCCAGTACGGTCCCCTCTCACTGAGTGCTAGAAGACACTCCTGGGTGTCCAGCATCCTTTTCTGCACCAATGGCGCTGATGCTGTGGGAGGGATGAAACACATGTCTCTTCCCAGACATGTCCATCACCCAGTTATGCTCTTCTCCTGAGAAATAAATGGTTATTTGTATCCTGACAGGTTAAATGAAGTCTACCATCCACTTTCTCTGAGTGTAGTAGCCAAGAAGCTGTTACACATGCAGTGCCCCTTTCTCCTTCGGTCCTTTCTTGAGCCTGTCAGTGTTCAGCACAGTCTGAGCAGGCTCGGTGGCTTTGGGGCTCCCACAGACTTTAAGTTATTCTGCACCAGTTGGAAAAACTCTGGCAATGAAGTGCTCAGGCTCATACACTTCTGAGTAGGTGCAGTAAAGCATGAGCATCTAGAGAAAGCTGCAGTAGAAGAAGCACTGTTAAGGTTGGATACCTCCATGGGCTGGCAGCCCCAACTAGTATGCGGTACAAATTGCTCTGTTGAACTAAAGCTCCTGAATTTCTCTTAAATCAGCCTTAGGTTTGCTAACAGTCAGCTTAAATGTGGTCCCTTGCCAACGAACAAATGAACTTGAAGAAGCCTGGAATTCCAGCTATTTTGTTTGAGATTCCCAGTGAATGTCTTGGAAAGTTTACAGCTTTGCCATGTTCTGCTAATCATTTAAGCGTAAGTTCACCATTTTCATGTTTCTTGCCTGAACATACTGGCCAAAATTTTTCCAATTTGATTGCTCAAAACAAGCGCCTGTGTTTGTATGTAGGCAGCTAAATCAATACCTTGCTCTGCCACACTCTGATTCCCTCCATCTCTGAAAATCAGCCACTCTAGATACCTACATATGGTTTTAGGGACCTAACTTTTGGCAGCCAAATTCATGTTTGTGATACTTTCACATGTTTTTAATAAGAATCTAAACATAAACCAGACCAAAGAAAA